GTGTACATGATACAGTACAGTTTCTTTGGTAATGGTGTTTCATTTAGTTTTGTATTTTCAGTTCGTTTTCTTTGTATTTAACTCCTCATTGTTTTTTTACCAGGCGTGGGCCATCCCCTGACTTCATAGGTGCCAAACATTTTACGTTTTTCATTTCTATTTTGAGAGTTAATAAAAATAATATAACCACGAAAAATACGTGTTATACGTGACGTGTACATGATGTGCATGACATTGTACAACACTAGCCCTTTCCCAAAGATGCCGCCATAATTTTTCGCAACTAAATTACTTATGCTTTTCGCAACCGTGCCAAAACAAGTGCAAGTTGTTGAAATCGCATCCATATTTTCAGAAAAAGCTCAAAAGTTGCCAACAATCGCAACTTAATGGAGAGTTCTAGTGCAAAAACCAGCAAGGAAAGGAGCAGAAATAGCAGAAGTGCAGCGACAGCAAACGTGTATGCCCCTTCCTGCTGTGAACCACCATTTTACACAGTGCCAGTAGCCTGTTGCATGCATCCTACATCATTCCAGTGCACGGAAAAGGGAATGCACATTATCGTAACTACCGTTGATCTACTGTTTCTCTGAAATGAGTTTGAAGGCAGGCGAGAAATGAGCGAGTATGCACTTGTCTGACATGTTGTCCGTGACTTGATCTTTTGACCCCATGGGCCAAGGTTGCAGAAACGTTCGCGAAAATGAAGAAGGTTGCCAAAGTGAGTTGCGACTTCTTCCTAAAAACGAAAAGTTGCGAAAAAAGTGGCGAGCATCTTTGGGAAAGGGCTATAATTATTAGTATAAACACAGTCATAAATGATGTGAAGACTCCAATGCAGTATCACAATCTATAAGAGAAATTGTGGTTACAGTACCACCATCTCTTTTCTACAGCAAACAAACATCACATCATGATTTACATTATGTATGTGGAGACTTTTACACACACTTGAGAGGAATCAAAAGCGTTTCTGCTGTAACTCTAAGTTTCACGGTTTTAACCGATCATCAGACAGCAACTAGACTGTTAAATGCTGCCAACGAGTACTGTCTGTATCCCATTGCCTTGGCTTGGGCCTACCCAAACCAGTTGCCAGTTCGGCGACTGTATTGGTTTACCTCTGCTCTGGTAGTGGTAGCGCAGCGGGGCACGGCCCGCGCCGGTTGGCAGCTACATGTACAGTTTAGCTACTTCGAAGTAGAACTTGAACTCAGTTGAAGAGAGAGGTTCCAGGCTGTCCAGTACTGCAGTTAGTCCTCGGAGTAACAACACATTCTTCAGCCTCTTCTTCTAAGAATTATGTTGTGCATTGTAGCTAGCTATGGCTGCACACCGGTGATACACTAAGTCTTGTACTTCAACTAAATTATTACTTCAAGTAAATGTACATGAATGATCATTGCCGACAGGAAAGCATACACCAGGATATATACATGTACATTGATACAGCTAGCTGAATTGTAAGCTAAGGTCAGTATTACTATTACTCCGAAAGGTTTTAATTTTATGCAGTAGTACTAGTACTAGTAGTAGGTGGCTTCCCGCCGAACGCTTGACACTGTCACTATGGTCACCGTCAGGGGGTAAGAATAACACAGTCGTGTAGTACCATGCTAGTGATGCTACACGTGCCCTGCTAAAATCATAATGAATCATGAATGATTCATGATTCGCTTCCATCATGTGATACAGTCGTAAAAGTATCTTTGTTTTTTTGCTGATTGGCCTCAACTTAAAGGGGAAGTATACCCTAAAATCAAATTTTCACCAGTTGTAGTCTTCTGGGTGCTGAGTCGAATGGTCTTGGTCCGAGGAAGCTGCGACGCTCCCTTCCTACTTGAATCCCAATCGAACTCGCGCACTTCCACCGAAACTGGGTGACTGCGCCCTACTAGATGGGGATTTGTATGCAAAATGTCACTAAAAGCGCCATTTCGTTCTTATAAAAGCACGGATGACCGCGATTGGCCCATATGTTGTAGTCTTTTGGACGCTGAGTCGACTGGTTTTGGTCCGAAAAGGCTGCGATGCAGCGTTCCTCCTTTATTCCCAATCGAACATGGTTGAACAAGCGGTCACGTGCTCCTGCGTACACCAGTCAGCTGGTCACCGTGCCTGCAGGGTACAACTTACTAGCCTATTTGACCTTTTTTGGGTGCAGTCCTGTCACTCGAGTTGAACTCGAGTTGAACCTTGGTGTGAAAGTTGTCGCCTGCTGGCGCGGTGACCAGGTGATTTGGGCACCCAGGAGCACGTGACCGCTTGTTCAACCATGTTCGATTGGGAATAAAGGAGGAACGCTGCATTGCAGCCTTTTCGGACCAAAACCAGTCGACTCAGCGTCCAAAAGACTACAACATATGGGCCAATCGCGGTCATCCGTGCTTTTATAAGAACGAAATGGCGCTTTTAGTGACATTTTGCATACAAATCCCCATCTAGTAGGGCGCAGTCACCCAGTTTCGGTTGAAGTGCGCGAGTTCGATTGGGATTCAAGTAGGAAGGGAGCGTCGCAGCTTCCTCGGACCAAGACCATTCGACTCAGCACCCAGAAGACTACAACTGGTGAAAATTTGATTTTAGGGTATACTTCCCCTTTAAAAGTAACTAATAATTAGACTCGGGTGGAGAGCAAAGGATCAGCTCATGCGATAATGTCCACTATTCGCTACCACCAGTCCACCACCAGTTACTAAACAATCAGCTCATGTGATATCATTGCACGACACTGACCAATGACGTTCTACACGTAACTGGCAATCAGCTCTAGCACATCTTGGATGCGCACTCCAACAGCCTTCCAACTTGGAAGGTTCTAAGTAAAAAAGGTTTGCTCCCCACACCGGAGCTCGCGCTATTCCGCCGACTTTACTTGACACTTGACTGACTCACGACTGCCATCCAGAGCACACGAGAAGTCCATCGAACCTTCGACTCGGCAAACCTGCAAGAAAGCACCACTCCCTGCTCAATACACAGTGTTTCGGGGAATTCACCCCTCATCAGTTGAGCATCAGTTGAGTCGAAGGTTCGATGGACTTCTCGTGTGCTCTGGATGGCAGTCGTGAGTCAGTCAAGTGTCAAGTAAAGTCGGCGGAATAGCGCGAGCTCCGGTGTGGGGAGCAAACCTTTCTTACAAATCATCGCCGAAGTCGCAACCACTACTTCGTACTGTTGTGCCGAGCGCGGGCTTGCGACTAGTTGGTTTGGAGGTGACAGCGTTGCGAATGACCGAGGGTCCTCGACGTCTGTCTCACCGTCCAGGAGCGACACTGACTCACGCTGCTATCTGGTGTTCACGAGGTGTTTATCGCGCTGGAAGCGGAGCGTCTCTGTAAGTTTGTATCCCTGGTGATGTTTGTGCCTGGAGAGCACTATATAAGTGGTGCTCTTCAGGCACAATCTTCCTCAGCCTACTCAAGCTCAACTGATGAGGGGTGAATTCCCCGAAACACTGTGTATTGAGCAGGGAGTGGTGCTTTCTTGCAGGTTTGCCGAGTCGAAGGTTCGATGGACTTCTCGTGTGCTCTGGATGGCAGTCGTGAGTCAGTCAAGTGTCAAGTAAAGTCGGCGGAATAGCGCGAGCTCCGGTGTGGGGAGCAAACCTTTCTTACAAATCATCGCCGAAGTCGCAACCACTACTTCGTACTGTTCTAAGTAAAGTTAAAGAAAATAACATAAGGAGGGGAAGGTGAGCGCAACCAAGATAAGCACGAGCTGAAAGTCTCAGCTGTGAAGGATGTTGGCGGATGTTAATTTAGCATGTCGATGACGATACTGGCAACTTTTTGAGTGGCAAGACCACTGGACAATACGGTCAAACCACTGGCTAACACTAGTAACAGCTTTGTAGTTAGCCAGTTAGTTGTAGAACGTCAGTACCGTCGGTCAGTGTCGTGCAATGTTATCGCATGAGCTGATTGTTTAGTAACTGGTGGTGTTAGTGGACATTATAGCGTGACTTGTAGATCCTTGCCAACCTTGGTCCCTTTTTTCTTTATTAATCCTTGGCTCTCCATCCGAGCCCATTCCTGAGTTTATTGTTCTACAACTAACTGGCTAACAGCTCTAGTTGTCTTGCCAGTGTCGTCATCGACATGCATGAACATCCGCCGACGTCCTTCACAGCTGAGACTTTCTGCTCGTGCTTGTCTTGGTTGCGCTCACCTTCCCCTCCTCATTACATGTTATTTCTATAAGTTAGTCATGCAATTTGTTAGATTGACAGCATGAAACAAGGTGGAGGACACTGCTATAACAAGGTTTATCTAACACTGGTTTGGTTTTTAACCAGTGTTAGGTTATTATTATAATAAGTTAGTACATGTGTAACTAACTTAGAACCTTCCAAGTTGGAAGGCTGTATGAGTTTGTTGTTTGGTTTTATTTTGATTACAATGTAGCTGTGACCAAACGAGCAGAGGTACTCAATTAACAAGGAAGCGAATGAGTCTACCATGACATTGTGTTACCGAGTCTTTTAGTACATGACTAGTGTACTGATGTAGGCGGGCCCGGGTAGATCAGACCGCGTCTCGACTGCGCAAGTAGCGACGTCCGTGCTGAGATATGTCAGGACTCAGGAGCTGCGCTGTTTTCAACACAGACTGTCACCAGGTCACTTGTCAGTGCGTCCTGACTCCGACTCCTGATATGAGGCTGAGCATTGCTGCCAACCGATCACCCAGGATTTTCAGACCTACCGCATACCGTAGAAAGTCGTTTGATTCGATCGGACTTGGGCCGCATGCAGTATCTGAGATCTCGAGACCGCATGACGGTTGACCAGGTTGACGGGGCTAGCTGAGTGCTGGGCATGGGCTGAGCCTGATCCTGGCCCGAGGAGTGCGCACGGTCCGGTCTGTGAATCTTCCGTCCTTTTTATTTGGGCTGTTTGGCTTTGAATAAAATAATATTAATATGCATAGCATGCGCATATGCAGCTACTAGTACTGAGCTAGCTAGCTAGTTTGGATCTACTTTTTGCATGCGGAAAATATAATTTTCTGGATACGCAGGATTACCGGTTGTACTTGTTGTAGCATTGCTACATTTGTTCCGTGTCTGCATGCTGACACGATGTGTGTTGCCGCTGTTGCGACCTACCTGCGACCCGAGCCCTAGGTCCTTCCAGGACCTAGCTAGCTGTAGGAGCCAACGATTAGATTTGTGAGTGCCTTTGTCTTAGTCGATCGTCGAACACGGTGCTCTGAAATCGTTTATGAAAGAGCTGAGTGTACAGTAGCTGCTGACGCTGCGTGCGCGAGGCATTTGTAGTTTGGAAATCTGCCCTGCCCGTGGCTGGTCCATTCTTGCACTGAGCTTGAGTAGGATTTTCCGCGCAGCTGCAGCAGCAGGATCTTGGAACAACTGAGCCAGTGTAGAGGATCAAAGAGCCCTTTCTTTCATTGGACTTCTGCTGGTCCACGTGGAGAAACTTCATGATCGTACGTTAGGTACGTCAATATTCCTCTGTCATCAAGTGTTTGTTGCAATTTGTTCCTGGAGTGATAGATCTTGCGATTTCTTTCGTGTAGTGGGTGGCCGTGTGCCACCTTTTCTGATTGTCCATTGTGCACTCTGCAGTCACTGAGTGTACGTACATGATGGAACTTTCAATGTACTGTTTGTACTGAGTAGATGCAGTCGTTATCATGGTTATTGTTCCTTGCGGCAGGCCAGTGGGTTGAAATGGACGCTCTATGCACTAGATCAGTTATCTGCTAAGCGTGCAGGAACCTGTAAAAGCTTTCAAATTGCGATGGTCCGTGCATGGCAGACATCTACATGTATTTCCATGTAGATCGTGTAATAACATGAATCAGAATGTCAGAAAACTCATGTTGACGTGGGTTGATGGGTCTGGACTATTATTACTGAGGACAATGAAATGTCACGTTTTTTCAAGATGAATTTTTGTTATTTCCCTCATCCTCCCCCCCCCCTCCATCATCATAATGAGCACACATGTCACAAGATAATGACCATTCTGTTGGCATGTTGGAATTCGCTGATGAAGCCAACACTGGCAACAGTGTATGCCACAGTCAAGTGCTGGAATTGACCCCTTCCCAAAACGTAGGGGCCCAGTGTCATCGGGCAGTAGGGTACCCGTGCTACCCGTAATTAGAGCGGGTAGTAGGGTAGCAGTTTGCGCCTAAGAACCCAATAGGGTAGTTCGAGTACGGTATTTTCGCAACGATGCATGCAAAAGCATGGCTCTGTGCTTACTGTACGGTTTCTAAGCACACTCGCTGTACAAACTATGTCGAAAATATCCAATAGGGTACCCGTGCTACCCGGATAGAAATACCCGAACTCGTTACCCGACCAAGCCCCTACCCATTCCAGCCCTACCCAAAAGCGACATTTCGTTGTACAGTCAGACCTCGCTTATCTGGTCCTCTTCTATCCGAATCCCTCGCCATCTGAAAGAAAACTGGTGGCTACCAATTTACAGCATGTGTCATGCATACGTACAGTAAGTGTGTTAGATTATCCGGTTCACTCGCCTATCCGGATATTTTTGCGGAAAACGGATGTGTGCGGCTAAGCGAGGTCTGGCTGTACACGGCCGCTCCCCTCTAAGGCCCAGTTAGAGCAGGGAACTCCGGTATGGGAATAGAACGCATCCCAAGAGTTCTTACAAAATTGAGAAATGAGAATGCACACTGTTTCCGTAGGAACCATTGAATGGCAGGACTCTTTACTGCATGTATCAAGTGAGATAACAGTCTCTGACTCTGAGCCACGACTGTGCAATCATATACTTTGCGCCAAGAGTCATGGATGCTAGGTGATCGTTTGTGTGTGTGTACGTGTGTGTGTGTGGGTGTGCGCGCGTGGGTGTGCGCGCGTGCGTGCCATTGTCTGCCTATCTGTTGCTGTTCCACCATGCAGCGAGTACATGTTGTGGCATTTCTGCTGGCGTGGCCGTGACCCTAGCTGCTAGTGATGGCGGACACCAAGCCGTCGTTCATGTCGCGACTGCGCATGCCGAGCAGGGTGGGTCGTGCTCCAGCGCCAGCGGTGGTGCCCAGCCTGCCTCCAGCACTAGTAGCAGCCACGGCAAGACCAGTGCAGCAGTGTGCTGAGACTGTCACCAGTACAACCAGCAGTACCACATCTCAACAACAGCAAAGCACTCTCATGGCTCCCACTGCGGTGGCGGTGGCAGCCCGACCGAGGGCTGTATCGAATGGTGCTGTGCAACACTCTGCCAGGTCAGTTTCTCCAGCGCACAAGGAAATGCAACAGCACCCGGGAATGCTCAAATCGACTGGTATGTCTGCAACAAGTGCCAGTGCATCAACCCCTGGCAGATTATCAACTCCGCAGTCTACCAAGTCTATGTTCCATTCGTCATCTGTGATTAGAAAGCCAGCACCTAATACAACCCTTAGACATCCAGCAGCCGGTGCAACTCCATCTGGGATCAAGCCAGCAGGAAACACGTTAGCATTGGCGGCACAGTCGAGGAACGTGCAAACGCCATCCAATTGTAAAACATCAGGTCCAGCTGTTACCCCGGCACCAGCGTCTTTACGACCGAAGCCAGCTTCACATACGCCCGGGAGGCCACCCCCACAGTCTGTCGCCACCAGTACAGCACCCGCAACAATAGGTACTGGCTCTGCATCAACCAGCAAACTACAGAATTCATCAAGCAGATCTGCTGCTGCTTCTGCTACAAGTTCACCCAGTGCAAAGTTGCCCATGTCTCCATCAGGCGTAAGCAGACCTATTGGCAAAGGGGTGGCCGCAGTTCCTGTTGCCAAGAAGAGCAATACGCTAGATTCCAAGAAACCCACTAGGTCGGCTTCTCTCAAAGGTCCGAGCAGAGAAGCGTCCTCCGACAGTGAACCTATCAAACACAACAGTCCATCCAGTATGCAGACGCTAAAGAACCGTGCAAAGTCCCTTAAGTTGCCTGGACGTAAAGCAGCCTCTCCGGTGTCTTCCAAACTCACATCATCGAATACTTCACATGTGAATGCAGCTCCAGGCCGGCCACATTCATCAGCTAGTAATGAGAGTACTGGCAGCACCGGCAGCACCGGCGTACCATCAGCACAGCAAACACCCACACAAAACACTGCAGCTAAGAAAGCCGCCGCCGCACCCTCTGCTAAGTCAAAGACGCCGCGAGCTGGATTCGGCTTTGGCCCTCGTCCACAGGTGGTAGCAACTACACCAGGTAGTCTGTCTGTAAAGGAGAGGTCATCTGATACTGGCGGACCCGCCAAGGGTAAGATCCAGCTCTTGAGCTACGACCACAGCCCTTCACGAAAGATAGCTGCTGTTACGAGTCCTCAAGTGGATCCCTTACATCAGGATACGGAAAGCCCTTGTGAGCAGCTGCCTTTCATACCGGGCAGTTGTCCTCCAGCAATCTCCAGTGCTTTGGAGGAGACAGCGCTAGAAGACGAGCTAGCTGAATCTACACCGCGCGGCTATCAAGTAAGTCCAACATCTGAGACAGCAGAGGTACCTGTTACCCCTGAGCCTGTGGTTGTAGACGAGAAGCAAGGTCAGCGGCCAGAGCTGTCTCTCAACGGAAATACTCTGACGCAAATCATTCCGCAAACCCCAGAGCAGGCGCCGTTATCCGCCAGTACAAAGAAGAAGCTATCATTCTCCCCATCGACGGAGTTCCCCACTGGTCTCACAGACGCGTCTCCCACACTCCCTGACCCAGGAGTGCATATAGAGGAATCACAGCTGAACACTAGCTTCAACTGCATTGCACCCATGTCGCTCCTGGGACCAGATGCCTTGTCCAATTTTCATGGCAGCAGCCTTGGCAGCATTCCTACACCATCACAGGGAACAGGTGGACGGAGCTCTGCACGAGTTGCCGCACAGCGCACAGAGAGCGTTCCATACAGGCTCGAGGGGCGCAGGCGATCGGGCTCAGCCGGTGATTGTATTCTACTGTCCACCCGCAGTCCGTCACCGCCATCATCACCAACAATGGAACAACAGAGCACGATGCGTATGAAATCACCGTCGCAGTCATCGCTTCCACGCGCGGACTCTAGCCAGGACGTGTCCACGGCAATGGCGTTAGGCTCCAGTCCAAAGCAAACGTCGTCCAGTTACTTTCGACACTCTGTTGCCATGGCGCACCGCACCCCAACGGCATCGCTGAAGGAGTCCAGACTGAATGCTCTTAGCGGCTCAACACCATCACTCTCTCGTCTCGGTGTGTCCAAGCTGAAAGGACCCCGCACACCAGCAGGGCCCTATGTTGTCCTGGACATTGAAACCTACCGTCAGATGCAGAGTGAAATCAAGAATCTCAAGTCGCTGCTCTTACAGCTCAAGAGGGAACTGCAGCAGGATGAGGTTAGCAATGTGCATGTCACTGCATGTTTGCTACATGCCGTTCCTGCTTTGGTTCTGCTGGTACAACATCCTACTGTGGTGTGAACTATCCGCTGGTGACTCCAATATCATAGCACTACCCTGCATGTACATTGTGAATGCGCAACCTGGCTATTAGAACTGCACCGGGCCGCCGCCATGTGCATGTACTGGGCTGTGCACTCTTGCTGTGTTTGTGAGTGTTTTATATCATAGGCGTTCCGTGTGTTCAGCCTTCAGGTGTGTTTGTACCAATGAGTAGTAAATTTACACCAGTGTTGTACTACTCCCTGGTTTGCATGTGTCTGAACTACTTATCTTTTAAAAGTAATTAATTTTATAATTCTCTATATGCGTGTGCATGTGTGTGCATGTGTGTGCATGTGTATGTGTGTGTTTTTGTGTACTTGTACAGGTTGGCGGGATGGGAATACCACATCATGGTGGCGTTACAGCTGACGACACGACTAATGTGGCCGTGAACAGCCTCTAGCCACACAATCCGAGACCAACGGTGAAAAACGATAGGATTCGTTACTAGTCTCATGGGGTTGAAGAGAGAAACAATAGGAATGTTGATTTTTCGAACACAGTCATATTTTTCAATTTCGCACCGGCGTGCATATCTGTGCATCCTTGATTGTACGTCCATCATGCGTCCATCATTCACTTTGGAATGGGTTGCTGGCATGTATTTCCTGCGTCCTGTGCATTGTCCGGCTTTTCCAGAAGCGATCACTCATCGTACGCAGACCTCGCTCTTCTGCCACTCTCCCACCCACTCACCACCCACCCACCACCCACCGACGTTGAAAAGTATTTATAGGCGTTGATGGTTTTTTATTGCAACAGTCCCTGCATCGTGCCCCCGTGATGGCATTGCTTCAGCGTCTGCTGCTTTGCCTCCAGTCTATTCCTATTTAAAAGTCATCTCTGAAGAGGGACTTGTGCTGCATCCTAGTGCTATGCTGCGCCGGGCGTCGTCTAATGAGTTAGCCCGGCAGTTTGTTCTGCAGCTGCGAGATCTGACATATTTACCTTGCTCAAAACAATTGATCGGATGCCTGTAAGATTCTGCTGTTTTGCTATGCTAGTTGCTTAGCTAGGGACTCTTACTACTTCGAAGTAGACTAGTTTTAGAGTGTGTACTTGTTTGATGAAGTACTAGTACATACTGCTGCGTCTCAGTCTTCTAGGCTTCTAGCAATCTCTTTTTTTCTTTTATAGGGCCATGGATATTATCTCTTGTCCACTTGGAAATGATACAATACATGTATGTGGAAGTATTTCATCATTCGGCACACCTGCAAGAGAGTATGATCTCCTAAACTTATGGCCATTGTCCTGAGCTAGAAAGGTGACATACTAGTACCCATTATTTTGTAATTGTGTGCCTGCAAGTTGGGTGTGCTGACTGCCAATGCGCACATGCATGAAGTACTGTATTTTCCGAAGTACAAGCCGCACCTGGATTTTCGTCACGAAATTTAATACAGACATCTTCCCTGTTCATCACTGTTATTTGACCATCGTGATACAGTTGAACATCGATTATCCGACCACCTCTGGGCAGACAACTGTCAGGCGGTGTTCAGATAAGGCAAATGTTCCGGATAAGAAAACACACTGTAAATACATGTACATGTACATTGTAAATAGAATAGAGTGCTACTTTTCAAAATTTTCGTATTTTTTGAATGGCTCACTACATGCACAGTGCGTACTCTATGGCACGTGCGCCCAAAAAAACTGTTACGGATAATCGAATGGTCGGATAGTCGATGTGCGGATAATCGATGTTCAACTGTACTTGCAAACTCCTCACTAAAGCGCACACTGCAGGCACTCCCCCGTGGTCTGTAGTTCACTGTGCTCTGCATGTGCATGGCTTATGCTAGCATAGCGTAGAATAAGATGTATGGGTACAGTCGCTAGTGAAGAAATCATTGTATTTGTACAGTTGGGTACTTGTTAACTGTACTCCAGTACATGAGTTTTAGAAAAACGTTGTCCGAACATGCAAACACCACCCACCAGCACCATGTACGCCCATCGCAAGAACACCCCCCACCACCACACACACACACACATACACCAACACGCAGATGGACATGTTCGAGTGGGCCTAACTGAGCACCTGCATTAGGCCCAGACAGATCCTGCCGGCAATTCTTTCGGCAAAATATCGAAGAATTGAGAGAGCGGAAATTGCCGGCAAAATCGGAGCAAAATATCGAGATGTTGGGTAAAATTGATGCCTGATACTTGGATTTCCTTGATTCTTACGGTGACCGTTCAGCAGGATACACTGCCCTAGATCTAGGACGAGATCATATCATCGAAATATCACTAGGATTCACTGTGGATCGACATCATTTTTGGAAGAACTCAGGGACACGTGCGTGGAAACCCGTGACGGGCCGTGTTGAGAAACCGACCCCTCGATTTTTATGAAATGTTGTGCGGGATTGTACGGGACGTGGATAAAATACACGTTTTTCCGGAGCAAAATGGAGCAAAATATCGAGTTGCTTGTGCCAGGCTCAGCAAAATATCGGAGATTTCGCAGCAACATTTTGCGGCAACATATCGAGGCGAGCGGAGCAGAATCTGTCTGGGCCTAACCTGCATACACATGTACACACCTACATGTGTGGGCCATAGTTGACAGAGACGTTTCAGCTGTACATGTATAAGAAGAAAACAATCGCATATTTGAGCTGGGCAACCACAACATAGTTAGTATGGTAATCATGGGTAACTGCATGAATAAGCATGGACACGACATAGGTAACTACATGAATAAGCATGGACACGACATACCTTAATCCATGAAACAGTCCAAAATTGAAGCAATACCAAGCATACGAGCGTACAAAGAAGGCTCTACTGCTGCCTGTACGGCTCTAGCAAAACCTGCAATACACGAATACACTGGTAGCAGCTAGCAAGGCATAATGATGATCAACATAGCTAACTTACGTGACAAGAGAGCTCCAGTACTGGTAACATCAAGCTAGGACAACTATCAGTTAGTTGAACACTAATTGTGCAAAAGCCCATTGTAGAGTTTACTATTGTCCTTTGTGCATCTCAAAGTATACTAAGCAAACCGTATTCTGAATTGAATTCTCACCTCACTATACTGGTACTTTCAATGGCAGCATGTGCTTGAAGCATTGCATACACATACAGTACACACAATGCAGATAAAGAGATCTATTTTTGTACAATGTTCGATATCGGACTCGCAGCCGCCCACACTTTTCATGCAGAAGTGCCCGGCCGACTGAGCCCATCAGCACTGATTGTTTCAACAACGAATGTTGACTTCAACACTCCACAGCAGTAGACTACTTGCTACACGACTGCTGCACCAAATCGTCCGCTCCAAGCCAACTAGTGAACTCCATGTATGACATCAGCCAGCTGGTTCAGGGTGTGAGCAAAGGCCAGGTAGTTGAAGTCTCTCCGGCCGCCGACGTCCATACGGAATCGCCGCAACAGCAAGTCCCACCACGTCGGGGCAGTGCAGCCCGCCAAACCAAGCTGATTCATGACACGGAAAAACTGAACGGAGCACACACACCATCCGCAGCAAGTTAACATGGCGGCAAGCACTCGGTGTGTTAGACTCAGCTAGCAGATAAGGTATAGGTGTAAAGGAGTAATCAACTTTACGGAATCAGTTGCAGTCACAAAAGACTCATCGGGTAGATGCATCCGATGATGGAAAGTTGGAAACTACTCTACTCTACTAACTGCTATCCACCAGGCTGTTATGCCTGCTCTCACCATTCATTGCCGCGTGACTGGCATGTCGCTATGTAGTACATATCTATAAGATATCTGCGCTGCATCAGCCTGAATGTGTAAGTTCCCTGTTTGCCATTATTGCCGTTAACATGAAGCTCAGCGGAATCCCATTCTACCTTCACTTCAGGGAAATTCCCCTCTAAATGAAGTAGGCTTCTCCCCCTGGCCCCGGTCACTCAAAAACGCACCATTCAGTTAGCTTCCATACTAGTATTCACTTCTCAATAATAAATGGCGAGGGCACAGGAGGAGAAAGACGAAAAGACTAGACAGAAAACGACGACGGGAAAGACTCCCGGGAAAGACTCAAAGAAAACAACAAGAACAAGCAGTAATATTGCGACGACAAATCGGGACGACCAATCAGGGACTAATACGTACAGAACACATGACCAAGACCAAGAAAACCAGACCACGGACGAATCACACACGACTCTCATTCCCAGACCAAACTAGCACTGCGCATGTACAGCATGCACTTGACAGTCACTCTCACACAGACGGAAGCACATCCTCACACTCTGACAACGCGTACTCTTGCATGCACCACATACCATAAACGTCACACATCACACCATACTCGCGCGTACACCTAGACCATAATTATATGACACCAGACACTGGACTCCACCAGACAAGAACCAAATACAACGACATGCGTAAATCAATACGAGACGAAATCCGCAACATAAAGACCTACTGGACCTGTCTGACAATTGGTCTAATGTGTGTAAGAGCAAGAGATCACGGTAAGTGGTGCGGCGGCCATGATGCATGACCGCAATAGGTCTTACCTGTGCTTGGGTGACATAGCCGATTTTCAGACGGTCAAAGTCCTCGAACGGCGGGAATAGGTCCAGATGACGAACAACCACCTGTGTGAAGAAAAGCACATGTGTGAAGGCAAGCACATGATGCGGCTCAGCAAATAATAACAGCATGACACTCACAACAGTGATTGCTTACCAACCATTGCGTACCTGTGCTGCAGTGGTGTACTGCCAGGCTTGCTATGATGATGGCGTGGTGGATAAATACCAGCCCCCTTAGCCGGGTAATGGCCAAGCACTACTCACCAAGAAAGGCTTTGAAGCACATGACATTCTCGTGACCACGCAAGGTGTACTTTGTGACCATGGTTACTGCACCAAGCCACTCGATCATTCTACCTGATAAAATGTCTATTTTAGAGACTTCACTAATTCCTTAGCGCTCACCTAGCATGCTGACTTGTCTAGGTTGGAGGGTGAGGGGGGGGGGGGGGAGAGGGGGGGGGGGGGGGAGGAGGCCCTTGCCCTTGTCACGGTGTCTATGTACTGAATACAATGAAGTAGTTGTTCATTGCGGCCCTTACCTGCTGGGCTAACACTTTCAGTGCATCGTCCAGAACTTCATTGTCATCGCCCTCCAGGCGCCGCTCAGCGAGCTCGTCCCGCAATTCCATCTGCTCTACTCGCTTCAGCGGCGTCTTCTCTAAGTCTGCCCCGCGGACAGGTAGGATTGGAAAACACAATTCACAAAAATCACACACCCATCACCAGTCATAATGCTCTTTTGTCTGAAGAAACCGTGACACACGAGCTACGGACTTTTTAAACGGATTGGAGACTCGATTGCTCCCAGAAAATATTTGAAACAGTCAAACCCCAAGAAACTTCTGTTTAGTGTAACATTCACACTACAACATGCCAGCCTGAGTAGGCGGAGAGATAGCAAAGTACTAGTACATACAGGAAACCACTTGCTGGCCCTGGCATACTAGCATCTCTACTCTGTACAATGCCACATTCCACAGTAGGCCCAGACAGATCCTGC